TTACACTTTTGCCAACATATGATCTTTCTGCCCACCTCCCCCTCCCCACCCCCAACACAATGTTGATGTCGATTTATCCAAAGTAGACCCACTATTCCAATATTGTTTTTTTTTGAGGGAGGGGAGGGGGGGCGGGGGGAGAAGAGAGGTTCGGCAAATTAAATCATGACTTCCCACTTCAAAATAATGCGTCACCACTTGTCGTTTTGTCAAGTGTCCCAAGGACTTTTGGCCAGGATTGTATGTTCACCGAGAGATTGGCGTTCTTCGACCTCTGCGACGCCGCGCATAAACTAGTCTTACCTATATGCCGACTGAATGTCTAACATGAAGTTTTTCCTACAATAGAGCTTTTCTTTGGGACAGTCTCCCTGATTAAGATGCAGCTATAACCAGCTCTTTGAGTCTCTTTAAAAACACATACTAACAAATGGTTTTCCACCTCGGGCTCCCACACGGCAAACATGTAAACCAGTTAATATCAAATTTACTTTACAAGAATGTACATAGACACTGTATTACTAGGAAAAATAAAGTTCAGTTTGTATGACCCCCATTGCGCATACATTTGTTTTTTGGGATACTGTTCATAGATGACGACGAAATTAAAGGATGGCCCTGTATCACCCATTGCTCAGTGATTTGCGCGCAAGGTATTCTCAGACGGAAAGCATTAAATACATACTGCTTGAAGAAAACTTTATTTTCACATTTAGTAAAGCCATTTATTAACTTATCGGAGCCTTAAACAATTTACGTGATGTACAAACACCCTTTCCAGCTACAGTGAAAGGAACATCTTTGTAACAAGCAACTCCAGCATCGTTTGTCCGTAAATGAGGCTTCACTTGATCCCAAACCTGCAAAACAGGTTTTTACAGGAAAGCGTTGACAAAAAAAAAAAAATCAAAACAAAACAAAAAAGAAACGCTGACATTTCAGGATGGCTGGCATTGTCCCAGGCTTTATTTCCAGCCGTTTCCTAGACTACGAGTAGCCCCTCTTTCGCTTAGTCCGTCGTGCGTGAACAGAAGACCTCGAGAAAAAAATTGGCTGCGCGAAATGGAGTAAGAAGGACCCCGGATTTCGCACGGCCATTTTTTCCTCGTGGCATATTTACGGCGACACAAGGCGGACTTAGCGAGAGGGGGATTACTTGGTTTTCGGAGTCCGGTTTTAATTCCCCTGCTATTGTGTGGTGAGGAACAAGGGGCGTGGGCTCACAAAACGGCTCGAAATCGAGTGTGGCATTCTCCTAGCCACACACAGCCTCGTTGTGTCTCTACCCGCCCTATCTGGAGCGAGAGAGAAGAGAAGAAACATCTTGTGTTTTTATACCGAACTACGCCTACATCCGATTGCTGCAGAAAGATGGAATTGAACAGACAGTGCGAATGAAGGTCTCAAAACCAGGACTACAACATTACATAACGTCACTATGATCTGGTAGTTGGATTGGCACTGTATTTTTAGCTTCAGTACACTAGTTTCTGTCCAGACAAGATTCACAGTGTAAAGCCACTAGATTACGCAATATGGGGTCAGCGTGAAGAAAAATACGAATGAACAACATCAAAGGGACCAGATGGTTGTTGTCCAGTTTTACTCACAATAAATTTCCAGAGTGAGGTGAGTTCTTGCATTTAAAGTGGCTGGGAAGTAGTGTTCGTTTCAATGATAATGTACTAAACATTTCTGTGTTTTTGTGCAGCACTGTTTGTGTCAATGTTTTAAAAATATCAAGTATTTTTCAGATTGGAATTTTTCTGGCTTTCTTTTTGGCCCGTGCGACATTTTAGGAGTAGGGAGCTGTGAGGATTTTGTGAAGTATATTATTAGGGCTTGAAATCATTTGCTATATATTTTACCTTCTTCTTTGGGTTTAGCTGTTTGTCTGGCTCTCCAGGATACCCATCAAATACAACCCTATCTCCTGGCACACTGCCAGCAGGCGGTGCAAGCAATTCAAAGAACTTCCTGTCCTCAGACACTGCACACATCACCATGGCTTGAGATGTCACACCACGCATTCTATTTATAACAAGACACAATATAAGTAATAATTGAAAACACTGGAGAAAGATCTGTCCTTCCCTGAAGCCCCTTGTTTGGCTTGTCATGCTGCTGTTACTTTGATGGTCACGCAAACCTAATGATGACACTTGGGACCGGACCGTGACAAAAGCCACGACGATTGCTTCATGGGAGGAGAAACAACATAATGTAAATCCTTGGTTCCTGCTGGACTGACTATTTAATTAATATTCAATTTCTTGGATTCTGCTGGCCCACCTGCATAATAATTATTCCGCTAGTTGGGAAAGACCTAGTATAGCTTTGCATGAACGTGATGGTATAGTATAGCCCCTGGGGGGGGGGG